CGGATGGCGGAGGCGGGGCCAGGAGGAGCCTCGGGCTGGGGCTGCTCTGCCCTGGGCCTGGGCCGAGGCCTCTGGGCCTGTGGCTCTGCTGGTGGCTGTCAGCAGCCCTCGCAGCCTCCCCTCCGGAGACCTGGCCAGGTGCTTCCGCCCTCGGGGTCTGTGCCCAGGGAGCCCCCCAGCCAGGGCGACAGCAGCTCTGTGGGGAGAGGGAGGCCGGCCTGCCTGGCAAGTCCACCTCCCCATCTGTAAGGAGGGGCAGGGACGGTTGCCCAGGGTCTCCCAGCTCAGTCCCCACTCCTGTCTCGTGGAAGGTACCCCTCCTTGGCTCCTGAGGCTGCTGCAGTCAAACAAGCCGGCCGGCCTGGCTCAGTGGTGAGCGTCGACCTAGGAACCTGGAGGTCACAGTTCCATTCCCGGTCATTGCCGGCTCGATCCCCAGCGGGGGGCATGCAGGAGGCAGCCGATCCATGATTCTCTCTCATCACTGATGCTTCTCTCTCTCTCTCTCTCTCTCTCTGAAATCAATACAAATATATTTTTTAAAAATAATGTTTTATAAAGACTCGCGCAGACCGAGGCAGCCTGGCTCTCTGGCTCACCGAGTGCGCGTGACCAGTAGTTGCCCCTGCGGCTCCGGGGCAGGGTTTGCACGCACCTTGAATAACTTGTCATTAATCCGGGATCTTTCGGACCCGATTTTCTTAGCTGCCCCACTTTCACCTTCTCTAAGGGCAGCACGTGTGCCACTCGCTTCCAAATCGCCAGCGACCAGAGAGAGCAGATCTGAATCTGCGTCGCCAGGTGCCCCTGGCTGACGTCCGGGCCCAGCGGGCGTGGCTGTCCCTCCGGCGGCAGCTCAGGTTACTCCTCCACGGACTCCCGGAGCCGTGGACAGAGGGCCCTTTATCAGAAGCAAAACAAACCCGCGCCGGCTCCATCGGAGACGACTAGAGGGGAGATGAAGGCGATGGCTGCCCAGCGCACAGGCATCAGGTGCCGACGCCTCGTGACCAGGGACGCTCTGCGTCTGGCATTTTCCTGGTCTGGTCTCACCTCCGGCGCAGGGAAACCCCTCACTGGGTGCCCACTGCACCCGGCGTGGGCTCGGGGTGGGAGGACGAGACAGCCGGCTGCCCGCAGGAAGACACGGGCAGGTGGTGTCGGGGATGCAGGCCCGGCCCCCAGGGACCCACCCCTCCCAGGAGTCCACCGGCCAGGCGGGGCTCTGAGCCTGCGGGTGGGGGTGAGGACGGAGCGGGGTCCCCCGGGTTCCGCGTGTGCCAAGGCCCCGCACACCCACGAGCTGTGCAGTGCGTGAACCCTGAGTCATTACCTCCTCTGGTTCTTCTGGAAAAACCCGCTCCCTCCCTGTGTCAGTGTGAGCTTCACACCCCGGCAGCGGCTCTGAGCTCCACCGTAGGGTCCGCACAGAGGGCAGGCCCCGAGGGCCGAGTCGCCCTGTCCCGTGTCAGTGACACTGTCTGCGCGAGGCCTGGGTCCCGACCTCGAGCTGTGTAACGGCGTCTCTGCTTTCACGGTGGCCGCGCCGGCCTCAGGGGTTGGTGTCCATCGGCACCGTTTGGAGGGAGGAGGTGGTGGCCGGCCTGGTCCGAGGACGGCTGCACCTGAGGGGCGGCCGGTGGTGATGCTCCTAGGCCGGCGGGTGGCCTCCTCTCCTCTCCGAGCAGAGGCCCCGCCCTCCGCCCTCAGGACCGATGCCGCGTGGGTGACAGTCACCCCTCCCCCCCCCCGGGTCCTGGCCGAGCCGGGAACCAGATGAGCAGGAGACAGGTTCGCAGGAGCGAGACCAGACGTGTGGGTCTGTGCGGACAGGCCGCCACCAGAGCATGGGCCCCGGACAGTCGGCCGGGAGGCTCAGGTGCCCCATGAGCGGAGGACACGCGGGTGGGGCTTGGGGCTTCGCAGGGGAGGAAGGCAGGTCACGTGGAGACGGCAGAGCAGCTGTTGGGTGCTGAGTGCCTGCTGGGAGGGTGGACTTCGCTCGCACAGGCCTCACTGGCCCCAGCGAACCGCAGTGGCCTTCTGGGAGGGGAGGCCAGGAGGGGGAGGCCAGAGGCTGAGGTTTTGGGGGTGGGTTGGGGTATTTTGGGTTTTTTTTAGTCTTTCGTTTCTAAAAAATAACCAGCTTAAAACAGTCACAACCCGGCAGCCCTGCCCCGGTGGCCCCGGGAGGACGGTGACTCCTGGGAGAACAGGTGGGTTAGGTTACTGCCTCGGGTCACACGTTAGAGTGTTTGACGTCTCCTTCAAGGCATGTGACCTGGCCAGGGGCATCCCTGTGGACGTGGGTGCGATGCAGGGGCTCCAGGGTGCAGGTCCCAGGTGGGGACGATGCTAGGCCTTTCTCTGGTCTCCCATTACGTTCGACACCAGACTTTATTCTCTTTGGGGCAGATACCTCCCCACACCCACTTCCTCTTCGTCTCTTGCTTTCGGGGGGGACTTCCTGCAGGGACCTCCCGCAGGCTCCGTACAGGGGTGTCTGCCGGGGGGCGGGGGACAGGTGGGAGGCCCCGCTCCGGGCACCTGAGGACGGGGAAGCAACGGCAGGGCTCTGAAGGTCGCCAGGGAAGGTCACGTGAAATAAACCCCGAGGCAGCGTAAAGAAACGACGCTGATGAAGGACTGGGAGGGGCGGTGCTGAGACGGTCGGGCTGCCGTCGCCAGGCCTGCCACTCGGCGGGTTTAGGCCGACAGCATGTGGCCAGGAAGGACACGTCGGCATCTCCCGCCTGACGCCCGGAAATGACAGCTTTTAGGTGGAAATGGTGGGTGAGCTCCACCGGCCGGAGCTTCCTTTCTACACGGCCTTGCTCGAGGGCCGCACCAGATCCCCCGGGAGCCAGACCCCGGACCCGCCTGGTGGGTGGAGGGTGGTGGGTGAGTGTCCCGCCTGCCTGCCTGTCTGGCTCCGACACGCTGCGCCCGGGAGGAGAGACCTCGTGAAATAGATTTCTTTTCCTAGATGGTCTCATGAGAACGTCCTTTTCATTTTCAACTTGTTTGTAAGAGACGAGCACACGTTCCTGAACCGTGAATTCTCCGTAGCTGGCGTGGCTGCAGGAAGCTCGCTTCTTTTCAAAGTATCCGCAGTATTTGGGCATAAAAGCCAGAACCCAGTCACGTGACGTGGCGACACCTCGTGGTTCGCTCACCCCGGCGTGGGCTCCTGCTCCCAGCCCTGCCGATGGCGCCCTCCGTCCTCTGTCCAGGCACCCACGGGAGGCCCAGCTCTGCTGCCCCGGAGCCTGAGTGTCTCCGCGAGGCCAGCCTCCAGGCCGAGGCTGGGTCCGGGACGCGTGGCGCCTTCACCGTCTCTGCGTGGAGACGCAGCTGTTCACGGAGTCTCTGTTCCGTATCATAAGGCCCTCTGGGCCGCCTCTCCCTGCGTGTCGCGAGCGGGGCACCGTGGGGTCGGGCGTGTTTTCCCCTCCTCGGTCCCAGCTCCTCCCCACTCTGCCCCGTCTCCCCGCTCACCCAGGGCAGGTTTATTCGTCCTGAAGCGCCAGGGGGGCGTTGGGTCGGTCAGCGAGTGCGGTGCGAGCGAGTGACCGGTGTGAGGCCGGGGGACGGGACGCTCACGCCGGTCCTGTGTTCCAGATCGCGTCCAAGTACGACCCGCAGGCGGAGGAGGACCTGCGCGGCTGGATCGAGGAGGTGACCGGCATGAGCATCGGCACCAGCTTCCAGCTGGGCCTGAAGGACGGCATCATCC